CCTACAAGAAGAAGAAGAAGAAGAAGAAGAAGAAGAAGAAGAAGAAGAAGAAGAAGAAGAAGATGATGATGAGCGGAGCAGTTTTTTTTTTTTTTTTTTCCCTTACCTGTCGTTTATCTCACGACCTATCGCTAATGAATGTAAAAAAAAAAGAAGAAAAAGAAGATAGTCGGAAGAGGAGGAGGAGGAGAGGAGAATAAGAAGAAGAAGATGAGGGGAGGACGACGACAAGAGATGAAGAAGAAGAAGAAGAAGAAGATGAGAGGGGGAGGAGGAGGAGGAGTGAAGAAGTCGTGGAAGAAAAAAAGCAGAAGAGGTATAAGAGGAGGAAGAAGAAGAAGAAGAAGATGAGAGCGGGAGGAGGAGGAGGAGAGAAGAAGAAGCAGAAGATTGAGCGGAGGAGGAGGAGGAGGGAAGAAGAAGAAGAAGAAGAAGAAGAAGAACAGACCGACACTCCACGTCGACGGGCGGCAGGGGTTGTCGGCAGGCAGGAGCACCGCAATCGACGACGCTGGCGACGGGCGACGGGCGACTCGACGACGACGGGCGAGTGAAGCTCCCAGACGATGGCGACGAGGGGCAGCTACTTCGACGACGGGCGACTCGACGACGAACGCAGGCGGCTGGAGCAGGTATAGAGGCCCCGTTTGGACAGCCAATGCAGGCCGCCCCAGCCAGTCGCTTGTTCAAACGGGGCCTCCATTTTCCCTCCAAAAACGAACGGCCCTCTGGCCGTCGATCATGGATGATCGACGGCCAGAGGGCGGTCCCAAATTCAAAAAAAAAAACAGGCCTCACGGGCCCAACGTGCCGTTTTCTCGGCGTGGTCGGACCCGGTAGGCCCTGGGGAGGCGAAATCTCGCCAATTCGGGGTTGGAAACCCCCCGCCAACAAGGTGTGCTGGGGGGGCCCGGCCCCCAACCGGGCCGCCCGCCCGGCCAGGCTGCCCGGGACCTCCCCCGGGCAGGCGCCCGTCGGCCGGGAAGCCCGGATCCCTACACAGAGGTTTGGTAAAAAAAAATATTTTGTTGATTTGTGAACAGTCGAGCTTCAGTTCGCACTCTTTGCTTTGAACCCAGTGCACAAACCTGAAGAAGGGGTATGGTAGTCTTTGGTATTGAGGGGCTGTTCAACCAGAAGAGCAGAGAATGTGTGTGTGTGTGTGTATGTTGTTTTCGTTATGCACAACTCCACAAAAGAAACACAAGTATGGCAGACTGTTTCATCAGACTTTCACCGAGTCATTAGGAGGTTGAACCTCGGCAGTGCATTGAGCCTCACTGCTCGACACCTTGAGAGCACACACACATTGAGAGATTACAAGAAATCCACACTGAAGTCCAGAGTTGCAAAGTCCAGATATGCGCACCTTAGAAATTCCAACAAATTATCACATTAAACAGTTTCGGGGATCCAGTCACCAAGCGATCAACAGCGCAGAATTCAGCAACCCAATACCAGCATCCTCATCTAAGGCAGGTGACTCTCTTCTCTCTCTGGGTCACTCTCTCTTTCTTTCTCTCTGTCTTCTCTCTCTCTGTGTTCCTCCTGGTCTTCCTCATGCATGTACTCTCTCTCTCTCTCTCTCTCTCTCTCTCTCTCTCTCTCTCTCTCTCTCTCTCTCTCTCTCTCTCTCTCTCTCTCTCTCTCTCTCTCTC